CTGCGAGACCTTGGCAACCCTGTGATGAAATCCATATTGATCATCTCCCACTTCCATTCCGGAAGTTCTATTCTCTGAGCTAAACCACCGGGCCTTTGGTGCTTGACTTTCACTTGTTGGCAATTTGGACACTTAGCAACAAATTCAGCAATGTCCTTCTTCATGCCATTCCACCAATAAACTTCTCTCAAGTCACGGTACATCTTTGTGGAACCCGGATGAATGGAATATCTGGAGCTATGAGCTTCCTCCATGATCCTCTCTTGGAGTCCATCCACCATAGTTACACACAATCTTCCTTGATACCTCAAAACACCATCTCCCCCTTGTTCAAAAGCTAGTACTCTTTGCTTTTGAACATTTGCCTTCAACTCAAGCAAAATGGGATCTTGGTCTTGTTTCTCTTTCTCTTTCGAATTCACTTCACCACCCATAATCAAATTCACCACCGGAATCTTCCCACAACCATTGCCATCATAAAAAATCGATAACAAACATCATAAATTTATCTAAATTCACCATCGGAACCATATCACTATCATTGAAATTCATCACAATCATAACCATAAATTCACTATCCACATCAAAATCACGAGTTTCATTGTCATTATCGAAATTAAAAGTCATACCACCACTAATTTTTCACCCATCACCAAACCCACCGCAAAAAATTGTCACAATATACAAATTTCATTCAAGCTCAAAGAGGAGAATTGTGAAAACTTGCAATATTTATTTGCAAAGATTTTAGTCAGACAATTGAAAAACTAGTGCTCGATTTACTATTACTGGTTTTGAAGAAAATCTAGAGAGGATTTTTCTGAGAGAGCAGAAAGATGTATGAACATACATTAAAAAATTGAATTTTGTGCGAAAACCCAGAAACTTTTTACACAAAAAGAAAAAGCAAGATCTGAAAATTTTCTTATTTCAAATGCTCACAATCAACAAAAAAACACAAAAATAAATTGAATAATCCGTTCTTGACTTGAAGAATTTGATGTGGGAATAGTAAGGATTGATCAATTTTAGATGTCTCGCCGGATTTTTTTGGTACAGTGAACCTAATTAATTGAACAACTTCGTGATCTTTGCGATGGATTTCTATCCCGCAATGTTGTTTTCTATTTTTCTCTTGGAAATTTATCATGAAAAAAAATTATTTTTCACATTAGCCATAGCAAAAAGAGTGTTTGTGATATGAAAAAAATGGAGGAAGAAGAAAGGTAGGGTAACGTGAAGGAGAAGGATGGTGGTGGGAAAAAAATTGCCTTTTTTTTTAAACTCAAACGCGCCGTTTTTATTTTTTATTTAATCTTATTTCCATGTCAGCTTTGAGGGTGGTATTAAATTCACTTTTGAGTAGTATAAGTGTGTAATAGGTCGCCTCAATAGTTTAACCGTGTAACTGACTTTTCAGTACAACTTCAGGGTTGAATTTATGTCTTTTCTCTTAAATAATAATCTACCGAACAAAAAATGAGCTACACATTCTTCCGGAGCATGAAAAAAATTAAACATAGGATAGAACAATAAAGGATCAGTGTAAAGATAATGGCATAAAGAACACGTAACATGTTAAATGGAATGTTTTATCTCCCCAAGTCATTCCTGTAGCTGATATACTTTGCTTGATGCATGATTTGACCATAGAACCTACCATTTTTGGCTTCTACAGACCTTATCTTCTGGAGTGGATGATTATCCAGGTGCATCTCACCCAAGTGAAGATGAACGTCACGTGGATCTTAGATGCAGCAGATTCCATGCACTCAATAGCAGAGCTTCTGAAGATGGATAAAGATATCAAAAATGTATAATAAATACACAAGTTCCTTAAAGCATCATTGTCTTGCAAAATTTGCTGAGTCATGCAATAACTCTTGCAGGAGTATAGTTCAACTGCAAAGCTTCTCTCAGATTGTGAACTTCTTAACAAGGTACAATATCTTCTAATTTCTAAGCATTCTTATTTTCTGATGGTAAAAGGTTCTCTTAGTTGGCTGTAGCACCATCTGGAAGGGTTTTATCATTGAACTGTAACTGTATAGTAACAGGGTAACTGCTGCACCTTTTAAAGTGTCTGTAACGCACTTATTGGACATTAAAATTTATCTCAAATGTTCTTCTAATGCACTTAGACACTGCAAATGGAGCTTATTGTGATTATGGAAATCATACAGAGATGGTATGTGGTTTATCATATTAACATGTCTGACCATCGTCTGGGGGCAGAGTATATATGCATAGTTTATTGTGAATGATGATTGGTGCAGATTTTATTGGTGCTTGCTAAAATTCCAAACATGATCGGGTTCTTCATGGTTTTATCCATGATTAGTTCAGTTCATTGATAGTGTTGTCTGAACTCTGATGTATTTGAGTGCTGTTTTACCTTACTTTGCACATTGCACTTCAGAAAACCTAGGTGGGTTTTATCAGGCGAACAGTGAATCCCAAGGTAAAGAGATATGCATGTAAATGTCTGAAACCTATATGAATGAATTCATCAATCAACTTTGTTCCCTATACCCAAATTGAGGAAACCTGATCTAGAAGCATTCTCTTAACCTCATAGTGCAAATCGAAATAATTATCTTTAAGCATCTCAAGCTTAAATTCAAAGGATCGGAGCCCGTAGTAAATGTTTCTGGAGGAGAACATAAATCGAGTCTTTTCTCTTACAAGCAAAAGTGAACTAATAAGAAACCTACTTAATGACAATTTTAAGTTGGAAAGGACCAAGTACAATTGATGTCCCAATAGGTTTCAACTCAATGTTTCCCGATTTTTAAAAAATATACGTTAAATCATCCATTTAAGATATTTCTCACCATCTTTACAGTAACCCCCCCAAACACACACAACAAAATTCAATCCTCCGTCCCTGTGGCAGTGGGTTATGGGCCATGAGACAGTGTATCTTCTTTCCTCGACAACGCTCTTTTCCTTTCAGGTTCAATTAACTTGGAAAATAGTGGAGACTGGAAGCAACTACCCAAGGCGAGAGTTTGTACGAGAAGTCCTAGAGAAACCTGTTCTACAACTGGTTCCTTATCTTGGTTATGTTAGCCTTTTCCCATTTATCCTCAGGCTTATTCCACCTGTAAGTCTTTTAGCATTGTTTCAGCAATATAATAATTCCAGTCTTTTATATTTATATTCAACTTTTTTGGCTAGATAGTGGCAGTAAAATGCTCTATTCTTTCTTCCTTTTTTGGCATCTCTTGTTTGATCTGGTCATTTTGATTTGCTCGTGCATGCTTATTTTCATTCAGGACTCATGGATACTCGAGAGTCAGCTTGACCTCATCTCCAATAAGAGCATTTTGTGGACTGATTTTGGGCTGAGATCCCTACCAAAAACAAGGTGATGCAGTTTCTGATATATGTGCTCACTATACTAGTGTATTACTATGATACTATCTATTCGTAGTTTCTTCATAAAGAATGTTATTTATTTTTTATTTTTGTTGGGTTGTGCCAGCTCCATGTATATGAAACGGAATACGGAGCATGATCCTCCATATTGGAGAGGGCCTATCTGGATACCCTTGAATTATTTGATTGTTTCTTCTCTTCATCACTACTCTCAAGGTACGAAATGAACAACAAAAATCTTACTATAGATTACTCATTTTCCTTAGTAAATACTTATTTGTACCCCGTGCTCTCTTTGGTCATGGACACGTGTCATGTCCTGCATTCATTGGTTTGTGTAAATACTAGGTGCAGGTAAGTTTTTCACCCTCGATCCTTCCTGATATCCTTAAGTTAATTTATTTTTGTTTCAACTTTTGAAGAGCCTGGACCATACAGAGAAAGAGCCAAAACCGTCTACAATGAATTGAGGAGCAATTTGATAAGGTACTGGTGTTCCCCCACCTGAAACTGTTCCTTGATATTCTTAATACATTAGGACGGCTGCTAAGATGTGTGGTATATACACATGATAATGTTTGCATTTTTAACGTCACAGAAATATCGTTGGAAACTATAAACGGACAGGTTACCTGTGGGAACAATATGATCAGAAGAAAGGGAAAGGTAAAGGTGCACGCCTGTTTACTGGATGGACAGCAACTGTGCTATTGATCATGGCAGAAGCTTACCATGAAGTTTAGTGTCACCCTAATGTAGCAAAAGCAATCATTTTTGACATATTGAATTCAGACGTATACAACTACTAGATAATAATTTATTTATTTTGTATAGACAATCCATCCATCTCCAAAAAAATAAATACATTTTACTAAAGAATTTGAAGGTAACTTCTTTGATTCCCTCAAGAGTTTGTTGACATACTGCAAATGTGAAACTGGGAAGAGCAATGCTCGTCATGATGTGCTGATTTAGTTCATCTTACACAAATTATTCAGTATGGTGAGGATTCACCATGAATTGAAAAAATCATGTTGCAACGCAAACATGTGATATGCATTTACTATATATACACGACTATAGTTTACTAGAATTACATTTGTAGTTATAGTTAGGGTTTTATAGTAATTTTTTAGCTCATTCTCTCATTCGCTTCTCTCTATCTTTACCTTCTCTCACTCGCCTCCTCTCTTTCTTTCTTTCTTTGCCCTCTCTCACTCGCTTTCTCCCTCTACAATTGACGTAATACAATTTTATTAGATATGACAATGATACAAATATTTCAATTATACATATTCTTGTTTATGATTCAAAATATAAATGGTATATGTCAATGATGCTAATAAAATTGTAACCTCTTTTAAGGCAATTAATGGTAACAAACATGTGTATATATACACACACAAGGCAACAAATGAATACAAATATATATTTTTATGAAATACAACATTGATACAATTGTATTTGTTGATACAATTTTATTGTTAATACAAATTATTCGTTAATATACTTGATACAATTAATTTGTATCAACAAATACAATAGCTTTTTTATACAAATTTTATTTGTTTATAAAAAATTATATTCGTTAATACTCTTGATATAATTAATTTGTATCAATGAATACAATAATTTTTTTTTATACAAATTGTATTCATTAATAATACACTTGATAGAATTAATTTGTGTCAACAAATACAACTGTTTTTTGTACAAAGTGTATTTTATTAACACACTTATACAACAAATATGATAGTTTTTTATACCAATTAATTGTATTCATTAACACAAATTAACAGTGGTCGTAATACAATGATCGACCAAATATACCTTTAATATGAAATATACAATTGAATACATTTAATACAATTGTATCTCTCATGCCTCCCGCGCTCAATATGGTTCGCCGCTCTCCTCAGATAAACATGTAGCTACAAATCATAATTAAGCAAACTATAGCTATGAATATCAAATTAAGCCCAAACTATAGTCATTTTTGAAAGTTTCGGTAAAGAATGACAAGTTGAATCAAAACAAAGGAAGGGACAAGTTTCTTTTTATTTCCCGTCTCTAGTAAAAGGACACATTTATTTACTTCTCCTGTTTCACATTCACAAAGTTTAAAAAGATACAATACTCAATTTCCACATGACAATACACAAAGAAAAATGTTTATCTTGGAAGAAAAATGATATAATACATTCTGCTCCTAGAGCTGATCAGCTGCCTTAAAAACATAACAGCTCTAGAGAAAAATGATAATCAACATTACACAGACATCTCTCCATCTTTTCACCGGAAAACAAAGTTGCATAATTGCTACATTGGAGTTTTACTGCTGATTTCAACAACTGAGGGGATGATGCTGAATTCAACAACCTAACACCATGGCCACTGTATAAATTCAAAGCCACGGCGCCCTGGGCACAAGTGAATAAGAAATCACTTCTTAGCTCTAGTGTCTCTGCTCATGAGTGTGCACAGACGGAGACGTTACCGAGGATCTCTTGCTCTTTTGCCTTCTACTGAAGCAAATATACATTAGAGTCGCTTCATAATCAACTATGGGTGTGTAGTGGGTGGGACATATTATAAATTAACCACATATGTAGTGAGGGCTAAAGCAAAGCCAGTCCATGCTTGGAGCATCCCAATCAAAGTCACAGGTCCTTAGCATATCACCTTATCACTAACCAACCTGGTTTATATAAAGTATCTTTCTTAAAATCGCGACCTGACATGGAGGTTGACTCACCTTGACGACGAAAGCACTGCGATGATCATGATCAAAATTTTAGCACAATAAACCTTGTAAATTTACAAGTCTCCCTATCCTTCCACACAACTTTTCAGGCAGCAGGTCAAATGGGGTAAAATCAGTCAGCACAGTTGACAAACATACAATTTCTTTTAACAAGATATATAATGTTTCTGCACAAAACCTCTCAATCAAGCTAAAAGTCCATGTCAGGCAGAAAATTCAACAAATAAATGAAAACATCACAAACCTTGTAACAGACTATGGTATCATCTGGATACATCGCAAACAGTTTGGTTCCAAGTCGAGCATGGCAAGAGTCACAGACACTCTCATCGTTTATCAAAACACGTCGTGATCTTTCCTCAAACCTTGCCAAGTTTGCATCAATATCCAAAGCACGAGATAGATTATGGACAATCTGTAGAATCAAATATCATCAGATGCCATGAGCAAAGTATATTAAGTGTTCTCTGTTGATTGCAGTAATTAATTAGCATAATTTTAGGAGACTATAATTTTCGTCCTAGCGTAATTATAGGAATATAATATTTCCTTTTAGTGTAATTAAGTCACTACATAATTAGTAAGGATTCACTTGTATAAATACCACTTCCCAAGCATACTAAAATACAAAGGTAGCCTTTTTTTTTCCCTTCTGGTACCATTTCTTACTTGATCAAGGTCTTGTTTGCTCTTATATTAAATCTAGAAAATTGTTTGGTTATATTCAAAAACATGGCTTTTAAATGTTATGCACCCTGAATCTTAAAGCAATACTTATCTATTGAAAAAAACTGAAATTCAATGAAGCGCACTTTTACTCTTGCAAGGGTAATGATGCCCAGATCTTTGAGATTCGAAATAAAATACATGTTACATAGCAAAGTGAGTTGATCATGACTAATACTTATTCCGAGTTAAGTGTCTTTCCACAATTGGTTGAAAAGGAAAGGGTATGATTTTGTAGCTGATTTGAACCAAGAATATGATCAGAGCAGAGTTAAAGTTCTTGGCAAGTTCCTTTCTTCTCTTGAAGATGCATGCTCCTATGAAGAGAGTCGATGAGGTGTCATGCAGTAACAAGCTCCAATAAATAGTTGGATTCAATTGTCTCTCATGAATAGCCAAGGATGATCATTTCTATAAAGATCACTTGCACTGTGATTATTGTGAAAAGTCAAGGCATACAATGGAGACATGCGAAAAACTTCCATGAGCAAGAAATATTTGAGAAGAGCTTTAATGCAACATTCATAGTCCTTATACCCAAGAAGAAAGGTGCCAACGAGTTGAGAGATTTTAGGCCAATTAGCCTAATTGGCAGTATATACAAACTGATTTCTAAAGTCTTGGCTGAGAGACTGAAAAGGGTGGTAGACAAGTTGATAGACTCACAGCAAATGACATTTATTAAAGGGAGGCAGATAATGGATGCAGTTCTGATTGCAAATGAAGCTGTAGATTCAAGAAATAAACAAAAGAAACCTGGGGTACTCTGTAAGCTGGATATAGAAAAAGCTTATGATCATGTTAACTGGAAGTTCCTAGTGAAGATGCTGGAAATGTTGGGTTTTGGGCAAAAGTGGTTGAATTGGGTGAAATATTGTATCTCAACAGTTAGCTTCTCAATTCTCATCAATGGTAATCCTGCAGGATTCTTCCAAACACAAAGAGGACTCAAACAAGGTGACTCCTTGTCCCCTTTTTTGTTCCTAATCACTATGGAAGGCTTAAATAACATGATAAAGACAGCAAACATGAGAGGGTGGTTAAGGGGCTTTGAGGTGGCTAGAGAAGGTACTGAGAGCTTGGAAGTTACACACTTACAATATGCAGATGACACTTTGATATTCTGTGATGCTGAGGAGGAACAACTTAAATATAAGAGTGATTCTAGTCCTGTTTGAAGGTATATCTGGGCTACATATTAACTGGAGAAAGAGTGTGATGTACCCTATTAATGAGGTGAACAATATGAGAGGGTTAGCTTCAATCTTGGGAGGTGAAATAGGAGCGCTAACAACTACTTACTTGGGAATGCCTTTAGGAGCTAATTCTAAATCCATAGAAGATACAGAGGATTTTCATTTACTATACATTGCTACAAAAATGCTCCCAGACACTCCTACTGAGGTAAGCCTCTAGCGGTCCCTTCTGGGCCCTAGAATCCCTTTTCGGTGATCTTCCATTGCTGGAAACATACCTGCGCCTTCTTTCCTTTCTTTCTCCTCTTCTTTCTTCTTCTACTTCTTTAAGCTTTTCTTCCCTTTTCTCTCTATGCAACTATGGGGGATGATACAATTTTCTTTGCTGTTGGTTTCAAATCGTACGACATTACCAGGGTGGTATCCAGAGCCGAAACTTGGTACGATTGGGTAGAGAGAGGCCGCAAGATGATGATGAGGATGAGTATTAGCCAGAAGACAATGGAGTGGGTAGCCTACACCCTCAAGGAAGCTTTAAAAAGTCATGGATACACTGTACGCAGATGGAAACGTTAGGACCACTTTACCGAGCTTTTCTGCGCTAGGAACTACAACAAATTTGGTCGGTATATTAGTATTATAAAGGTGCAGGACAAGAAAAGAGATGTCATCATCATACCTGAGTGGTCCTTAAACTCTGGATGGATGGACATAGCTACCAAAATATCAGTCTTCATAAATGCTAAGGCCCAACCGATAGGTAAAACATCACATAGGAAAACTGAGAAGGGTTTATTATACTCAGACATTGTCAAGAACAATAAATGGTCTACAAGGGAATTAAATGGTGCGAGGATTCAACAAAAAGGGATTTCACTCATTATATCAGATGCCATCTCAACAACTCAGAACGAGTCGCTAGCAAAGAGTGTTGTCGGATCCCTAC